AGTCAATCTGGTTGGCTGTGCTTCATCGCGTCAGTGGAGATTGCTTGTTCCAAGGGAACTGGGTGTCATGGCGAATCGGTGGTTTCAATTGGCTGCTGGCTCTGTCAATGTTTGCGGTAACGTCTGTTTGGTGTACCCTGGCTCCTTTGCTTCCATCTTGCTTCCCTCAACTTTATATTGGCTGTTTCTATCACCTCGCACAAGCCGCAGATTTTTTTGTAGAAGGCTTGCCTTTCCTCATCGGGTAGCAATTGCACTTTATCCTGCTCCTCTTGATCAAATGAGATACAATAGCGGTTACTTTCGAGCTCGATCTTGTGCGGGTGTATATTTTCGTTATAGTCTTGCAACCCCTTCAGGAGGTCGGCGTCGCTTCTCAGCTCACCTGCTGCCGTCTCGCTGCTTTCTGTACAGGTTTTGGTTTCTTCTGCGGCTGGGGTCGCCTCTGTAACTTCGGATACGGTTACTCCATCTAGCTGGATAGTGTTTTCCTCATCAGTATTTGTCTCTGTAGTCGGCCTTGTTGACATTTTGTTGCTTGGCGGCTCTCTCTAGTTCGCTCTGTAGGCGGGCGTGCTCTGCTCTGGCTGTCATCTCTGCCCCTTCTGCTTCTGATTTCGCCTGAATCAGTCGGGTGACTTCTCTATATGTTTCCTCTCTCGCCTCTTTCAGCACGGCCATCTCTCTGCTTCTCTCCATCCTCTCTTATTGTCTGCGCTTCTCATCTGCTGCCCGCGATAGGGGCGCCTTCCGGTGATGCTGGTTGAGACGCTGCGGGTATGGCCATCATCTTCCTTGGTGTAGGTGCGGCTGCTTGCTGTTTTTTTCCCATGATGGAAAAAAAAAACAATGCTAGTCAACTGCGGTCTATCCCGAAAGCTCGATCCCTGCAGAGTCGACAAGGCTTGTTAAGTGTTCTCAAAAGGACACCAAGCGTGTTTTCTCCGCAGTTCCCGAGACAATCGTTTCACAAATGGATGCTAAGACTGGCTCCTCAAGAATGATGTGCTCACGGGCTGCTAATGACCCAAACGCAGACGACACCGATAGCGTAGTCGAGACAAACTCAGCCGAATATCAAGCGAACATTGACCAGTATCTAGCTATCGATAATCAGGCTACGAATGAATAGTTAGCGGGCAAACGAGAGACATACGTGGCTGATCGGGCGGTTAAGCGAGCTGGAGTGTGTGTGATGATGTGATGATGATGTTTTCAGCAAAGCACCGAGCATATCATTTATGGGCCAAGTAAAAGAGACGATGCCATACTGACAACAGACTTATGACGCAACTGTGGTCCCTTGAAGGATGCATACTGCAGAGGATAGAAAGTGAGAAGCAACAATGACATGCATAATGTTTGTTTTAAAATCACACTTACTGCTGGCTAGTAGACTGCATTGGTTGGGGAATACTGAGAGAAAAGCAGGTAACAGAGAGAACAAAACTGCGTACACGTAGGTGGCGGTGGGGGTGAATGGGAGTAGACCAGGAGGCAGAACAAGCAGACGATGAAGAGATAATGTTCAGGCAGACGTGCAACTGGAAAGAGAGGACCAACCATAGAGAAGAATGCAGGCGGGTGATATTTGCAGCAATGAACGTCAAGGGCTTGGAATGCTGAAGAAGGACAACCAGAGAGAAGAATGGAGGCGGGTGATATTTGCAGCAATGAACCTCAAGGGGTTGGAATGCTGAAAAAGGACAACCAGAGAGAAGAATGGAAGCGGGTGATATTTGCAGCAATGAACCTCAAGGGCTGGGAATGCTGAAGAAGGACAACCAGAGAGAAGAATGGAGGCGGGTGATATTTGCAGCAATTAACCTCAAGGGGTTGGAATGCTGAAGAAGGCCAACCAGAGAGAAGAATGGAAGCGGGTGATATTTGCAGCAATGAACGTCAAGGGCTTGGAATGCTGAAGAAGGACAACCAGAGAGAAGAATGGAGGCGGGTGATATTTGCAGCAATGAACCTCAAGGGGTTGGAATGCTGAAAAAGGACAACCAGAGAGAAGAATGGAAGCGGGTGATATTTGCAGCAATGAACCTCAAGGGCTGGGAATGCTGAAGAAGGACAATCAGAGAGAAGAATGGAGGCAGGTGATATTTGCAGCAATGAACCTCAAGGGCTTGGAATGCTGAAGAAAGACAACCATAGAGAAGAATGGGGGCGGGTGATATTTGCAGCAATGAACCTCAAGGGCTTGGAATGCTGAAGAAAGACAACCAGAGAGAAGAATGGAGGCGGGTGATATTTGCAGCAATGAACCTCAAGGGCTTGGAATGCTGAAGAAGGCCAACCAGAGAGAAGAATGGAGGCGGGTGATATTTGCAGCAATGAACCTCAAGGGGTTGGAATGCTGAAGAAGGCCAACCAGAGAGAAGAATGGAGGCGGGTGATATTTGCAGCAATGAACCTCAAGGGGTTGGAATGCTGAAGAAGGCCAACCAGAGAGAAGAATGGAGGCGGGTGATATTTGCAGCAATGAACCTCAAGGGGTTGGAATGCTGAAGAAGGACAACCAGAGAGAAGAATGGAGGCGGGTGATATTTGCAGCAATGAACCTCAAGGGCTTGGAATGCTGAAGAAAGACAACCATAGAGAAGAATGGGGGCGGGTGATATTTGCAGCAATGAACCTCAAGGGCTTGGAATGCTGAAGAAAGACAACCATAGAGAAGAATGGGGGCGGGTGATATTTGCAGCAATGAACCTCAAGGGGTTGGAATGCTGAAGAAGGCCAACCAGAGAGAAGAATGGAGGCGGGTGATATTTGCAGCAATGAACCTCAAGGGGTTGGAATGCTGAAGAAGGCCAACCAGAGAGAAGAATGGAGGCGGGTGATATTTGCAGCAATGAACCTCAAGGGGTTGGAATGCTGAAGAAGGCCAACCAGAGAGAAGAATGGAGGCGGGTGATTTTTGCAGCAATGAACCTCAAGGGGTTGGAATGCTGAAGAAAGACAAACATAGAGAAGAATGGAGGCGGGTGATATTTGCAGCAATTAACCTCAAGGGCTTGGAATGCTGAAGAAAGACAACCAGAGAGAAGAATGGAGGCGGGTGATATTTGCAGCAATGAACCTCAAGGGGTTGGAATGCTGAAGAAAGACAACCAGAGAGAAGAATGCAGGTGGGTGATATTTGCAGCAATGAACCTCAAGGGGTTGGAATGCTGAAGAAGGACAACCATAGAAAAGAATGGAGGTGGGTGATATTTGCAGCAATGAATCTCAAGGGGTTGGAATGCTGAAGAAGGCCAACCAGAGAGAAGAATGGAGGCGGGTGATATTTGCAGCAATGAACCTCAAGGGCTCGGAGTGCTGAAGAAAGACAACCATAGAGAAGAATGGAGGCGGGTGATATTTGCAGCAATGAACCTCAAGGGGTTGGAATGCTGAAGAAGGACAACCATAGAGAAGAATAGAGGTGGGTGATATTTGCAGCTATGAACCTCAAGGGGTTGGAATGCTGAAGAAGGACAACCAGAGAGATGAATGGAGGCGGGTACATCAGACAGGGCCCCACAGAGAGCAATGTTATACAGATACAGCGGTAACAGATCAAGAGGTCGACCAGGCAGAAGATGAACCCCAGAAATATCAGAGACACTGAAAAGTACTTTATACGAAGCGAACTGAAGGGCCTGTTCCAGAGATCTCTTCCCACCCTAACGCCGCGAGGCATTCCAGGTGTGGAGAAGAGAAGAGGAAGAATATTTAGCAGTGTAAATGTTTGTCCCCGAGGACTAAATAGCTGCCAAACGTGAACTGGAAAGATTTGGAGGGAGTGTGTGTCTGTGTGTATTTTTGTTGCCGTTGATATTGTTGTTTTTAATGAAAGCAAACGAAAAATATGACTTCCTATGAAACACGTTATTAGACACTGGGTCAATGAAATCTGGTCCGCTGAAGAGAGTTGGCAAGAACAGGGGACAATGGGGAAACATCGATTGACAACTTTAATACTCCTGGAAAAATAGATCATCAACATCATCATCAGCATCATCGTAATCCTCATCATCATCGTACTTTGTTGCTTCATTTATACGCGACATTTCCACTGCGGCTTTCTGAGCCCCTAAATTGATGGGGGGGGGGGGGTGGGGGGGGGTATAAACCTACTGCCCCTTATCAAGCATGCCGTCAGAGGCAACTAATTAGGGATTCTCCCTCGGAAGTCGGATGGTGTCTACCTAAGAGGCAACGGGCTTGATAAAAAAAATCCAGATCAGTCTAATGGATGTGAAAAGAACAAGACCAAAGTCCAGAAGTGGACGAGCAACCAGAACCCATCGTCGGAGTTAACAGCCGGTGAAGGCTAAGAATAAAATAAAATGAATACGCCATATGCCCCCTATGCACCGCTTGACTAGCTGATTTGCCAGAATGGAGCAAGTACAATTGATTTACGTAGTAGCATAGGCTGGCCCACGGCCATGTCTCCTCCTTTGTCATCCGGACTTGGCGGCGGCAATGGCGGAGATAATAGAACGAATGAATGCTAATTGTATTAAAGTTCAGAGGTGAAAGTCGAGACAATCGACAAGATGTTATCTTCTTTGGCTCTCGTCTCTGGTCGCAGACGGTTCTAAACTTCTGTTAACATCCGCCGTTACTTTTGTTAACTTCCTCTCAGTTATGTTTGTCTTGCCTTAAAAAATCGTCTCTTGTTCAAANAGTAAAGTACAATTTTGGTTTATGTGGTAGCATAGGCTTGCCCACGGCCACGTCTCCTCCTTTGTCATCCGGACTTGGCAGCGGCAATGGCGGAGATAATATAACGAATGAATGCTAATCGTATTAAAGTTCAGAGGTGAAAGTCGAGACAATCGACAGGATGTTATCTTCTTTGGCTCCCGTCTCTGGTCGCAGACGGTTCTAAACTTCTGTTAACATCCGTTACTTTTGTTAACTTCCTCTCAGTTATGTTTGTCTTGCCTTGAAAAATCGTCTCTTGTTCAAACATATTTTCATGGCCTATTGTTTCAATGTCACAGGAGTACGACAACTTTATCTTCTAACACAGAGAGCTCTGATGAGACTGACGATGTGTTCAACGTTGTACTCAGGTAAGCACCAGATTATATCCTACAGTAATAATTGCCACATCAATGTCCTCTCCAACACTCAGAATTATAAGTAAATAAAGAACCCTTTTCCACATCTTAAAGAGTACACCGGCCGCCTTTACTTCCTAGGACTATACCTGCTACCAATTTAAAGCTGGATCGAACTGAAAGCAAAGGTAATTTTTGAAAAAAGTAAAGGACTTGAACCCACGACCTTCAGAACAGCTGGCGAGCGTCTAGTGGCTCAAGCAGATTCAGAATTGGGAAAGATAATTTCCATTATATGTTTATTTGTTGGCTTCTGCTATACCATACACCATACACGTATACTATAGTCATTTCTCTCAGACACATATGTGATGTGTATCATTATTGTTTTGAATACTGTCCCACTGATACCTTTTGTTTAGTTCACATTTATCATATTCCTCTTGCAAAGGGAGCCGTCGTGGCGTAGCGGCAAGGCGCTTGCCTACAGATCTGAAGGTTGTGGGTTGAGGTCCTGACGGAGCAGGTCCCCCCCCCCCCCTCCCCCAGCAATGATCTTGACTTCTATGTCGAGACAGCTATAGTAACATTAAAGTCTTGGGAAGTAAAGGGGGCCGGCTGACCACATCATTCACTGAGTGCCGAGTGATCTATACAAGTCTAGCCTTATATGCCCAGTAGGTCTGAAGACGTGAAAAAAGGTCCTTCAGTTGCAAAGCATTGCAAAGTTTTTCAAACTACTTCAGGCAACTCTGAATTTCAGCACATCCATTTTACAGATCTGGCTTATCTGTGTGCAGACTGTTGGTGCCTCGCCTTTCAGCCAGATGCCCTCCAACTTCAAAGAAAAATCACCTGAATAATTACATTCTAATACGCTAGTGGGGGGTGGGTAATCTTCAACACCCTCCCCCCCCCCCCCCCCCCCCCCCCCCACAAAACCTGATAATTGGTCTCACAAACCCAGAGGAAGCGGCATTCAGTAATTATGTTTTGTAAAACAATGCAGGGGAGACAACAATGTATATAACATGATTTTCCCTTGCAGAGTCCGCCCGTTCAACTTACAGGAGAGGGAGCGGCGTGACAAGTCTGTCATAGAGTACCCTGGCGACGACCAAGTGGCTGTAAGTCTGGCTGCTCCTCACTGACTGTTCTGTGTTGCTAACTGTGCCTGTTAGCATCAGTGCTTCCCAACCTATTGAGGTGGCGGCCCTTTGAGTATATGGCGAAATCCCTGACACCCACCCCACCCATTTTTTCCACTCAAAAAACAAATAAAATGAATGAATGAAAAATAAACAAAATTTGATAATATAGAAGGAGAAATGTGTTTATAATGTATAATTAAATACACGTGCTATCATATTAATTAAATTTGTTAGGGTATAAATTGCTCGTGAAAACAGAATAAAAACTCCGTGGCCTGTTGTGTTAGAAATAGTTAAAAATATTTTTTTTAACAATTAAACTGAAAAAAAATATATATTGTACAAAGGCTTATGACGTACAAATGAACTCATTTTCAACATTGCCTGACACGACCCCCACAACCCCCCCCCCCCCCCCCCCCCCCCCCCCGCTCCCAAGTTGCAGACCGCTGATATATATATTTAGAGAGATGAAAAGTGCATGGTCGGTGGGGAATAGATAGGGCCAATATAACAGTCTGTGGAGAGAGGGGGGGGTGGGCACCTTAACCGACGCACTCTCAGGATGGTAAAAGTCTAGTAACTGGAGAATCATGAGATATTCATTGAAATCGAATCTCTTCGGTCCAAAGGCGCAGATATCGCAGCCTAGGTGTAAACCACAACACAACGTGTCAAGCTCTATTTTAGGGGTGTACATATTAATAATAATAATAACAACAGAAGAAGAAAACGATGAAGAAGGAGGGGAAAAAGAAGAAAAAAGAAAGAAAGAAATACAGAAATAAAGAAAGAAAGAAAGAAAGAAAGAAAGAAAGAAAGAAAGAAAGAAAGAAAGAAAGAAAGAAAGAAAGAAAGAAAGAAAGAAAGAAAGAAAGAAAGAAAGAAAAAGAAATAAAGAGAAGAAGAAAGAGATAAGAAAGAAAGAAAGAAAGCAAGAAAGCAAAGAAAGAAAGAAAGAAAGAAAGAAAGAAAGAAAGAAAGAAAGAAGAAAGAAAAGAAAACAGAAAGAAAGAAAGAAAGAAAGAAAGAAAGAAAGAAAGAAAGAAAAGAAAGAAAGAAAGAAAAAGAATAGAGAAAGCAAGAAAGAAAGAAAGAAAAAAAGAAAGAAAGAAGAAATAAGAAGAACGAAAGAAGAAGCAGCAGAAGAGAAGAAGAAGAAGAAGAGAAGAAGAAGCAGAAGAAGAAGAAGAAAAAGAAGAAGAATAAGACGAGAAGAAGAAGAAGAAGAAGAAGAAGCAGAGAAGAAAAAGAAGAAGAAAGAAGAAGAGAAGAAGACGAAGAAGGAAGAAGAGGAAGAGAAAAAAGGAAGAAGAGGAGGAGGGACGGAGGAAAAGAAGGATGAACGGAGAAGGGAAGAGGAAAAAATGAGGACGGAGAAGAGTAAATAATACCCCCCCCCCCCCCCCCTTTTTTTTTTTTTGGGTCTGTATATAACATTTCTGCCGTGTGCATTTAGGGCGTGCTGTCACAACGGACTGCGTATGTTAGCTGAATCTGTATAACCAGTTATTAAAGATAAATCACTGACATATTTGATAAATGGAATGAGGATGAACGAAACAAAGTAAAAGAAAAACACATGACAGGCAGTTCACTGGTCACACAGACAAGATAGAACTCGATAACAAGTAGGTGCATATGAAAAGTTGCTCTTTGAGTCACGATGTGTTAACCATTCAGGCTGCAATTGCAAAGTGAGGAATCCGGAAAAAAAGGAAGCAAAAAAAAGTTTCTTCTTCTTCTTCCTTTTCGTTTACCACCAACACTGCTACCAAGCTTCTTCTTTTACCATCATTACTACAATGACTACGATCAACAGGATTTCTTTTATCACCATCACTACTACTGCAGCTGCTACTGCTACTACTACTACTGCTGCTGCTGTTGTTACTACTACTACTACTACTACTACTACTACTACTACTACTAATACTACTACTACTACTACTACTACAATTGCTGTTGCTACTACTACTACTACTACCATTACTACTACTACCAATACTACTACTACTGCTGCTGCTACTATTACTACCACCACTACTACTGCAGCTACTACTACTACTACTACTACTACTACTACTACTACTACTACTACTACTACTACTACTACTACCACTACTAATACTACTGCTACTACTACTGCTACCACTACTGCTACCACTACTACTACTACAGCTACTACTACTACTACTACTACCACTACTACTGCTATACTACTACTACTACTACTACTACTACTACTACTACTACTACTACTACTACTGCTGCTGCTGCTGCTGCTGCTGCTGCTGCTACTACTACTACTACTACTACTATTACTACTACTACTATTACTACTACTACTACTGCTACTACTACTACTACTACTACTACCACCACCACTACTACTACTGCTACCACTGCTGCTGCTGCTGCTGCTGCTACTGCTGCTACTACTACTACTACTACTACTACTACTACTACTACTACTACTACTACTACTACTACTACTACTACTACTACTACTACTACTACTACTACTTATGCTGCTGCTAGCAGAAGTGTTTGAGAACTGTGGCATCAAGAAACTCGTGGAGGCTGCACTCACTGGGTAGGTTCAATGTTTGTCTGTGATGTTTCATGTTTGTCTGTGGCGTTTCATGTTTGTCTGTGATGTTTCATGTTTGTCCGTGATGTTTTATGTTTGTCTGAGATGTTCAATGTTTGTCTGTGATGTTCAATGTCTGTCTGTGATGTTCAATATTTGTCTGTGATGTTTCATGTTTGTCCGTGATGTTTTATGTTTGTCTGTGATGTTTCGTGTTTGTCTGTGATGTTTAATATTTGTCTCTGATGTTTAATGTTTGTCTGTGATGTTTCATGTTTGTCTGTGATGTTCAATGTTTGTCTTTGATGTTCAATGTTTGTCTGTGATGTTTAATGTCTGGCTGTGATGTTCAATGTTTGTCTGTGATGTTCAATGTTTGTCTGTGATGTTCAATGTTTGTCTGTGATGTTCAATGTTTGTCTGTGATGTTTCATGTTTGTCTGTGATGTTTCATTTTTGTCTGTGATGTTCAATGTTTGTCTGTGATGTTCAATGTTTGTCTGTGATGTTTAATGTCTGTCTGTGATGTTCAATGTTTGTCTGTGATGTTTAATGTCTGTCTGTGATGTTCAATGTTTGTCTGTGATGTTTCGTGTTTATCTGTGATGTTCAATGTCTGTCTGTGATGTTCAATGTTTGTCTGTGATGTTTCGTGTTTGTCTGTGATGTTCAATGTTTGTCTGTGACGTTTCATGTTTGTCAGTGATGTTCAATGTTTTTCTGTGATGTTCAATGTTTGTGATGTTTCATGTTTGTCTGTGATTTTTCATGTTTGTTTTTGATTTTTCATGTTTGTCTGTAATGTTTCATGTTTGCCTGTGATGTTTCGTGTTTTATCTGTGAATCTGTAATGTTCAGTATCTGCTTTTATGTTCAGTGTTTGTCTGTGATGTTTCATGTATGTCTGTGATGTTTTTTGTTTGTCTGTGATATTCAATGTTTGTCTGTGATGTATAATGTTTGTCTTTGGTGTTCAGTGTTTGTCTGTGATGTTTCATGTTTGTCTGTGATGTTTCAATGTTTGTCTTTGATGTTAAGTGTTTCTCTGTGATTTTTCAAGTTTGACTGTGATGTTTCATGTTTGTCTGTGATGTTTCATGTTTTTCAGTAATGTTTCATATTTGTTTGTGATTTTCAATGTTTGTCTTTGATGTTCAGTGTTTGTCTGTGATGTTTCATGTTTGTCTGTGATGGTTCATGTTTCTCTTTGATGTTCAGTGTTTGTCTGTGATGCTCCCATGGTAGACTCCAGAAGTAGAACAGGCATGGAAGGCAAAGAGATCCGCAGTGAAGCAGCTAAAGAAAGTACGACAGACACCCTGAAGCTCACGAGAGGAAGTGGAGATGGCGGAGAATGTGAAAAAAGATAAGGTGGAGGTTTTCAAGCGCTGTGCTGCAGAGGCCAAAAGAGCAAAGTGGGAAACTTTTGTGAATGACATGGGAGGCGATAAAACATTGGGGAAATTCTGGAAACTGCAAAGGCAGATGCAAAGAAAAGATCAGCCTATGACAGTCGGAACAATTTGTAGAGACGATGGTGTGCGTGTGACAACAGACAAAGAGAAAGGGGAGGCTTTTCTCCCTAGGTTTATAGCTCAGACAGATCATAATGATGATAGGGATGCAGTTAGAAAGGAGTTAGCTGGCACCTTGAAGAATATGCATTATGAAGACATGATACAAGTGGAAGATATCAAACAAATTTTTAAAAAAGCAAAAGACACTGCACCAGGGCCTGATGGTGTCAGGTATGGTCACATGAAGGCTTTGAGCGATGTAGACCTGGCAGAGATGGTCGACTGTTTTAACCAGAGCATTAAGACAGCATCAGTACCGCAGGACTGGGTGGACAGCTATCTAATCCCACTACCAAAACCTTTTAAAGATCATTCTAAGCTAAGTGGCTTTAGAATCATCACCTTACAAAACACATTTGGGAAGGTCTTGGAGAGGATAGTTGATGTAAAGCTGCAAGAATTTTTGGAAAGAGAGAAGCTTCTCCCAAGAGGTCTGGGAAGCTAAAGGCCAGGAAAAGGACACTTGGGCAAATGCCGCCACTTTTGCTTTTGACGTCTATGAATGGTTCCAGAACAGACAGGAAACTATGGCGGTAGGACTGGATCTCGAGGATGCTTAAAACAGAGTGAGATACGACATCTTAATGACTGCACTGAGGGAGAAGGAGGTCAATCCATGGCTGGTGAATTGGGTTGCAGCTGTCCTGTATTCACGTCGGGTTGCTCTACGACTGGGCTCATGGACCTCTGAGCCATACACTGTTGCCCCAGGACTGCCACAGGGATACGCCATCTCGCCTGTGCTGTTTAACGTGTATACGAGCTAGATTGCAAGCCTAGAAGCACCAGGAGTTGGAAGGATACTGACTTTTGCGGATGATATACTAGCATATAGGCAGGGGGAAGAGAGGGAACAAACACCTCGGGAGCTACAAGCGACAGTAGACAAGGTGACTGAGTGGTGTACAGAAATCACGGCTGTCGTCCACTCGGAAAAGGCGTCTGTTTTGTGGTGTTCTCTGGACAACAGAATAGTTAAAACTAATGTCCCAAGTCTCACGATAGATGGTAGAGACGTCAACAGAGAGAGCAAACTGAAGTATCTGGGAATTACATTTGACAGGAGCCTGTCATTTAAGGACCATGTGGAGAGTATTGTCACGAGATGCCAAAAAGGACTTAGTGCACTTAAGACTATGGCTGCAATTGACATAGAGCAGAGAATGCTTTTCAAATTATATCAGCACCTGATCCTGTCAGTGGTTGATTATGGCCTGGGACTGCTTACCGTCTCTAAATAAGAGTCAGATGGACAAACTAGAGCACATACAGAACGCGGCTATGCGGGTCATTCTGGGTTGCACCAGAGACACCCCAGTGGTGTGTATGCGATACATTCTTGGTTTGCCAACGGTTGCAGGAAGGCACAAGGTGCTGCAGGCGAAGTCATATCTCAAGGTAGCTGCAGACATAGACCACCCTCTGCATCAAGCTTTGGGTGCAGTTAAGGGTCAGCGGCTGATAAGAGGGAGGTCATGGATGGCTCAGGCAGAAGACACAATCAGACAGGTAGGTTTGCATCCTTGAGAACATTAGGCGAGGAGAGGAGTGGGTCAAAGTGCCACCTGAGCAGTCAGACTTGTGTAGAGCCATAATCACGCTGAGCCGGGAATGCAGAGACTGGCCAGCAGGTTCCACAGAGGTGGAAATTCAGCAATTAATTCAAGATAATGCTCGCTCGCAGGATTTGATCATTTACACATACGGTTCAGTGTTAAGAGGCAAAAGAAGTGCTTGGGGCTTTTTAGCAAAAGTTAATGGTCGACGTTTGGTGCAGGGGAGCCTAGCATATGATACCACAACATCCAGCTTAAGAATGGAGGTGGAGGCGGTCACTGCAGCTTTCCGCTGGCTAGAGAACACGACACACACACATCGTGATTGTAACTGATTCAGAAAGCATGCTGAGGAAGATCAGAACAGGTATGCTTCGTGCAGAGTAGCATGCTTCGCTGCGGAGGACACGAGTGAGGAGTAATGTCTGGATTTTTTCACCGGGTCACGCCGGTGTGTTGGGAAATGAACAGGTAGACAGACTGGCTGGCTCTGCACAACTTGGTGGAATACTGCAACATGATAGGGCAGACGTGGTTAGTGCCTTGTGGGAGGGCGTGTACAATGCGGAGGAGCAGATAGATCACCAGTCTGGTGAGATTGATGCAGTTGGGGGTGACGAGAGGTTCTGACAGAAGCTCAAGGCTCAGAGGAAAGGCAAGACGGACGTTTAATCAGAAAGCTACTGGCACCATTAGTATCGGTACTCTTGCTGGCTGCTGAAGATTTGGACGGAGCACTTATGGGAATGCCCCGAGTGCTGTGATGTCGGTTCTTGAATCAAATCAAATCAAATCTGTGATGCTCAATTTTCTATCATGATCAATGCTTGTCTTTAACGTTTGTCGCCGATGTTCCGTGTTTCTGTGTGATTTTCAATGTTTGTCTATGATGTTCCAGAGATGTTCAGTGTTTGACTGCAGTGTGTTGGCAGAAATGTTCAGTGTTTATAAATGATCTGTGATTATAAATTTTCACTGTTTGCTCGTGATGTTCTGACACAAATGCTTTGCGGATTTGTTTCAGTCTAAACTTTGAAGGTCACGCTGTAGTTCATGATTCAATACATCGGTTTTTTTTTCTTCAGATTCACATGCACTGCGTTTGCTTTCGGTCAGACAGGAAGTGGGAAAACTCACACAATGACTGGACCTCCATCCCAGGTGTGCTGTGTTTGTTCGTTGTTTGTTTCTCCAGGTATCCGAACCACAAAGTAATAATGAACAGGCATCATAAGAAGATAGTCTACACACTGACTTTCCACTTAAATGGCCCATAACCATGTGACCGCTAATGCTTTGAAAAGTTATGTGTTTCATGTGAGCTTTTGCTTATGCAAATTCCCCATTTCTGGACCGGGAGTCTCAGGGTTCCATCGCCCAGCTACTGCGAGGAGTGTGTGGTGCGATATTGTTAGCCGTGGATTTCAGGTGGAATGTGCGTGTGAGTGTGTGTGTGTAAGTGTGTGTGTGCGCGTGCGCCTGCCTGCCTGTAACGGGTTTTTGACTGCACTAAAATATTACAGTTTGAATAGCGTGTACCTTTGCGGGTGCAATGTTAGCTTTCGCGATTCACCGTGTGCATCAACAATGAGCAGCAATTCTTGAGTTGGACCGTTAGTGTTGTCACATCTGGCAAGCATTTTCACTGTGCAGGCGCAGACTTCAAGACTTTGCTCGGGCTAACAAGTTGTTCGCTAGTCCTCAAATTATATGGTGAAAGACATTTTGTGTCATCTCTGCCGGGATAGGAACGGAGCAGTCGTGGGGGCAAACCAACCTAAAGTAATGTTGGAACCTCGACTAGCCACTAATGATAGATTATACATTCTTTAGGCATGTCATACGAATTGGGAGGGGGTGGGGGTAACGGGTTACTTCGTTGTCTCGAGACATGGTGTCCCCGGTAAGGGATGTAAATTTTTCACGTGGACTTGGATTTATAGCAATTCTCCCTGGTCTCTGGGTAGTGAGATCGGACGACCGTGTGAATTGGGGCGCACGTAAAAAAAAATCCCTCTGCAAGTGGAAATCGAAAAGAGTAGCCTAACGGCGCTGCCAGGGCAAAAATTTGGCGATAAAAATCTACCTAAAGTATTTCAGGATCCTCGCAGGTGTTACAGAACCTGTGCAATGTGCTGAGCTTCTTAGGACTCAGACCTGAGTTTCTGTCAGAAACGCCATGTGACTTTTGTCTTGTCATATTTCAGTTCCAGAACAGAGTCACCCCGGATCCCAAATCCTACGGCATCATCCAACGATCATTCAAATATTTGTTCCAACTACTCACGCAGCAACCGACGCCCAAAGTCATCAGAGCGTCCTATCTTGAGATCTACAACGAGCAGGTATAGTTATCCAAATCTCTTCTGTTTGCTAATCCTTTTCTTCTTTTTCTTCTTCTGCATTCCAAGACCTGGAGCTTGATTTCCCCAGTTATCACCTGCCACCGTACATGGGGATATCTGTTTCATGACGAACTTAAGTGTCCACCCCACGCACCAAACCGTTAGCCTGCTTACACATAAACAGATTAACATCCATAGAGAAGTTCATACATAAACAGATGAGCATCCATAGAGAAGTTCATACATAAACAGATGAGCATCCATAGAGAAGTTCATACATAAACAGATGAGCATCCATAGAGAAGTTCATACATAAACAGATGAACATCCATAGAGAAGTTCATACATAAATAGATGAACATCCATAGAGAAGTTCATGCATAAATAGATGAACATCCATAGAGAAGTTCATACATAAATAGATGAACATCCATAGAGAAGTTCATACATAAACAGATGAACATCCATAGAGAAGTTCATACATAAACAGATGAACATCCATAGAGAAGTTCATACATAAACAGATGAACATCCATAGAGAAGTTCATACATAAATAGATGAACATCCATAGAGAAGTTCATACATAAACGGATGAATACAAACAGAAAAGTTCATATACGAACAGATGAACACAAAAAGAGAAGTTCATACATAAACAGATGAACATAAATAGAGAAGTTCATACATAAACAGAAGAATACAAACAGAGAAGTTCAAATACGAACAGATGAACAAAAATAAAGAAATTCATGCATGAACAGATGAACATCCGTAGAAAAGTGCATATATAAACAGATGAAAATCAAAAGAGAATTTCATACATAAACAGATGAATACAAACAGAGAAGTTCAAGTACGAACAGATGAACACAAACAGAGAAGGTTATACATAAACAGATGAACATCAATAGAGAAGTTCATACATAAACAGATGAACATAAATAGAGAGTTCATCCATATAGAAGTGCATATATAAACAGAGGAACAGCCATAAAGAAGTGTCTACACAAACAGATGAATAGCAGCAGAACAGTTCATACATAAACAGATAAACATCAACCAGAAACTTCAAACACATAAACAGATGAACACCAATAAAGACGTCCAAACAGAAACCGGTTGTATGTGTTCTCCACACAGGTGATTGACCTCCTCAACAAGAGCCACGGCCGCTATCTATCGGTGCGGTGGAGCAAAAACAAAGGCTTTTACGTGGAGAACTTGTTCACGGTCATCTGTAACACGGCAGACGACCTCATGGCCGTTCTGGATGAGGGTAAGAAAACTAGTCTTATTGCAGAGAAGCTGGGCACGAGAGGAGGGTTGGTGGATGGGAGAAACAAACAAATGGAAACATAGGATGTTAACAGCAGAGACTGCCTCCACCTCTATTTTCAAACTAGACGTTGTGTTATCATGTGCAAGCTTTTGTTGTCCATTCGCTTTTGCTATCAACCACAATGCACTTCGTCTACCTCTTAACACAGAACTATCTGTATAGATAATAACCTGGCTGGGAACTGTCATCAATAGCTGTAGTGTAAGAATATAAAAACACGGTTTCTAATGTTATAAAAATGACACCGAAAGTGAAAAAGAAGAGAGTTATCTAGCACCAGCATAGTAGAGTAGTAAAATAACTACGATAGTCAAACAGTAGTAAACAACTATACTCAACAAACTAACGATAGAGTTGAAGAATATAACAATCAACAATTATTTTATAAAGGAAAAGTCTTCCAAAGTTTAACAAACTTTACATACGAAAACTAATCATACAAACAGGATATAATCAAACTATATCAGACTACTCTACCTGCAGCAAGTATACAACTCAGTTTAGCTTACACTGTCACCACAGATATGACACAGACTAGGTGATTACCACATACTTCCCTTTACTACAACTGATGGGTACAACTGGAGGCTGCGTGGTCTTGAGGCATGGCGTCCATGTTTCCCATGGCTACAAGAAACAGTAGGAGGAAGAAGATGAGGAGGGGGAGAAGAAGAAGAAGAAAAAGAGGAGAAAGAAGAAGAAGAAGAAGAAGAAGAAGAAGGAGGAGGAGAAGGAGGAGAAGAAGAAGAAGAAGAAGAAGAAGAAGAAGAAGAAGAAGAAGAAGAAGAAGAAGAAGAAGAAGAAGAAGAAGAAGAAGAAGAAGAAGAAGAAGAAGAAGAAGAAGAAGAAGAAGAAGAAGAAGAAGAAGAAGAAGAAGAAGAAGAAGAAGAAGAAGAAGATGATGATGATGATGATGATGATGATGATGATGATGAAAGAGAGGGGGAAAATAATAAAAAATAATAAGAGTAGCAGTGGAGGAGCAGAAACCTGTGGAATGTGAGAATAAGACGGCAAAAAGCCTGGTCTCAGTGAATGCCAACACCTCAGACAGCCCGGAACCAAGTCCGTAAGTATTCAGTACTGAACCTTGCCTATGCCTAAAGAACGACAACACCTGCAGCAGTGACAGTTTGTTGACTAACATGTGGGTTGTGTCCCCTGCACCCCAGGTCTACACAACCGACAGAATGGCTCGCACGGGTTGAACGAGTTCTCCAGCAGGTCTCACAGTGTCCTTACTGTCTCCATCGACTCTGAGATGCGCCTGGATCCAGAAGAGGATAACCTCTACATAACAAACAAGGGGAAGCTATCCTTTGTTGACCTGGCAGGTAGGCCATGTTTTCGCCCGTGTGCGTTCCGGGCTGCATGTGGGGATTTCGGGGGTAGGGAAGGGGTGGTGGTGGAACTTCTACTAACTGCTCCTTAAAAGGAAACGAATAAATGCAGACTTACAGCATAGCTGTGAACCAAATCACCACGTTCCGACTGTCTTTTTAAAGAAGAAGAAGAAGGAGGAAGAAGAAGAAGAAAAGAAGAAGAAGAAGAAGAAGAAGAAGAAGAAGAAGAAGAAGAAAGAAGAAGAAGAAAGAAGAAGAAGAAGAAGAAAGAAGAAGAAGAAGAAGAAGAAGAAGAAGAAGAAGAAGAAGAAGAAGAAGAAGAAGAAGAAGAAGAAGAAGAAGAAGAAGAAGAAGAAGAAGAAGAAGAGAAGAGAAGAAGAAGAAGAAGAAGAAGAAGAAGAAGAAGAAGAAGAAGAAGAAGAAGAAGAAGAAGAAGAAAAAAAAGAAGAAGAAGAAGAAGAAGAAGAAGAAGAAGAAGAAGAAGAAGAAGAAGAAGAAGAAGAAGAAGAAGAAGAAGAAGAAGAAGAAGAAGAAAAGAAGAAGAAGAAGAAGAAGAAGAAGAAGAAGAAGAAGAAGAAGAAGAAAAAGAAGAAGAAGAAGAAGAAGAAGAAGAAGAAGAAAGAAGAAGAAGAAGAAGAAAGGAAGAAAGAAGAAGAAGAAGAAGAAGAAGAAGGAAGAAGAAAGAAGAAGAAGAAGAAGAAGAAGAAGAAGAAGAAGAAGAAGAAGAAGAAGAAGAAGAAGAAGAGAGAAGAAGAAGAAGAAGAAGAAGAAAGAAGAAGAAGAAGAAGAAGAAGAAGAAGAAGAAGAAGAAGAAGAAGAAGAAGAAGAAGAAGAAGAAGAAGAAGAAGAAGAAGAAGAAGAAGAAGAAAAACAAAAACAAAAAAAGAAAAAGAAGAAGAAGAAAAAAAAAGAAGAAGAAATATTCACTTGCTTGTTTATCTCTGTTATTTACTACTGTAATCGTTCTTCTTAGCATTCACTTGTAGACTCCAGTGGAAAGTTAAAGTGGTTCGTCCACTTCTGTGCACTGGTCTTGTTCCATAGTTTCAGTTCTGCAAACACATTCTCATCACATATTGGACTTTCTTGTATTCAGGCTGCTTGCTCCTTACTTCTCAGATAGATGTACTTCGACTTTCAATAAAACAACACTAATTAGTCGCCTTTTACGACCTGCTTCTTATGGATCTAATGTATGCCCCCCCCCCACCCCAAATAGGGCCCCAGAAAACACAGAGACAGTGTTGTTCCACAGGTAAGATCCTGGGGTACATGAAGATATGAGAAGAGCTCCTGTACCAGTTTGGTTCTGTGTCTTTTAGAGGATACTGCAGAGCCAAAGCCAGCATGTTTTGGCTGATTGTGATTTCAGTAGACAACGTTCAATAGTTTGCCATTGCTTTCTAGCAACCGGTTGTCGATACCACTGTTGAAATCAACACAAGGCTGCCAAACAGCTCACAGCTGGGATCAAACATGGCATTATGGGATTACGAAGCGCCTTTGTAACCCTGCAGACTCAGACGCCTTGTTTATCAAATGGTATGGCCGTCTAGTATGACGATCCTGGCAGCCAGAGCGTGCAACGTAAGCATGAAGACACCAAGAGTCAGAGGCAGACCTAGAAGAACTTGAAATGAAGGAGTCACTGACAGCATGAGACTTCACAGCATACGAAGCAACCGATACGAAGCATACGATGCAAGCCTTAGCCTTGCCACAGGTCTTCTGTTCATCTGCGATGCACAACTGACAAAAGATGTTCAAACTGGCCAATGCCGTATCAATAAAACTGAACTTTCTTGTGATATGTAAACAAAAAGAGCACGTGATAAATTTGAATCTACCGTGGTAATCACACGACAGATCTTGAATTTCCGGCAGAGAGACGTACAGCCCAACTTGACAATACCATGTATGTATTTCAGCGAAAGGATTCATTTGTATGCTTCATTATATGTTGATTTAACACTCTATTAATGTGCATCATTAAGTAGAGCGAAATATGCCAGGCAATAAATTGTGCAATTTGTTGTTTACGTTCGCATTTAAAGTGACATTTGTTGATATGGTTTCTTGTTTTATAACTTTCATTATTATCTCTGTCTTTCCAAAACTATTTTTTGTTATTGTGTCTTCCTCTTCTTCTTCGATCCCTTTGAACAGATAACTTGAACAGTTTGATGTTATCCATTTCCAGGAAGTGAGAAGGTCAAGGACTCAGGAAGTGGCGGCCCGGGTATCATGGAGTCCAACAGCATCAACAAGAGTTTACTTGTGCTGGGTAGGTTCTCTTTCTTTCTCTCCTACTGTTTTATAGTTTTACTCTGTTGAGAAGAAAATCTCCTAGTGGTAAAGGCGGCCGGTCTAATGCTGTACTATCTTCCACCTAATACCGATTAGCCTATGAAAATATGCCAGATGCGCAACTGCCTAGACATCATTTAACATACTTATAGTACTAGAATCTCTGTCGGGGACAAAATAAAACCCTCACCAGCACAGTCCGTGGCAGCAGCACTAGCCGTGCGGCTGTAAATCCTCAGGCTCAGAGACCCCCCCCCCCCCCTTTTCCCCAAACCGCAAAAGTTGTATATAAAGGCAGTATCGAAATCTCAGGGGAGCGTACCGAAAAATACATACATAGTAGGTATAATGATTTGTTTCCTGTGGATCTGTCAGCTTTGTGCGCATGATCGGAAGTCTCAATTTAATGGTCGTATGGCGGCCTTTACAATCCGCTTCCCTACCTTTACTGTTTTGTCACGCTAACTACAACAACAACATTATACTTGTCTGTTTAAACACGTTTGTCATACAATCTGTCAGGATTGTGAGGATATGGTCAGGTGTCTCTCTTGTGTGTGCTTGTTGTACAATCACGCGTTGACAGGTGTCTGTGAGCTTATGTGTATTTATTTCTTTACGAATGTCTCTAAGTTCAAATGTGTCATAGAGGTTGTTGACTGATTTATGTTTTATTTGATGCATTAATGGCCATGACTTATCTACCTATATATCTACAAACATCTGAATCTACTTACTTCTATGTCCAAAAAATTCCATGTCTTCATACATCCTTATTCAACTAGCTCCCTACCGAACTACCTCCCTTTCAATCTACATTGCAACCCACCTCGCTATCTGCCTTTCCTTATAGCTACCTATCTCTCTGTCGTCATAACTCTCTACCACCCTATCTACTTCTCTGTCTGTCCAACTGCTTATCTATATATCTTTTTATCTGCCTATCAGATTATCTACCCATTCGCTGATCTAACTATCTGCTTATCTAACTATCTGCTTATCTACCTGTCTCCTGATCTAACTATCTGCTGCTTATCTATCTATCTGCTTATCTCCCTATCAACTTTTCTAACTATCTACATATCTACCTATCGGCTTATCTAACTATCTGTCCACTTCTTTTTTGCATGGCCAGTTCTGACCCGTTGAAAACACAATTCATTCGTTCGTCCCTGTCTAGCTACCGTACTACATACCTGCCTACCCATCTATAGAAATGTCTATCTACCAACCACCTTATCTACAAACTTCTCTATCTATGTCCCTATCTACATACCTCCATATTTAACCATGCATTTATTAATTAACCCAACCGTCCAGCCATCCATCCAATTTACCCACCCAGATCATTCCATTTATCCATCTTTTTTAACATGCGTCTTTCTATTGAGTTTTATACTTGTGCATCTACGAATCAACCCATCCATCTGTTTATGTGTATGTAAGCCGCCGCATTTGCACATTTCTTACCAACACACAGGAAACTGTATTTCCCATCTGGGTGACTCGAAGAGGCGCCTTGGCCACATCCCGTACAGGGACAGCAAGTTGACCAAGCTACTGTCAGACAGTCTTGCTGGGAATGGAATTACGCTTATGGTATGTCTGATTAAAGGATTGTGTTGATGGTCGGTAGGTACGCTTGGTTGGTGGATACCATGTTTGGTTGGCTAATTGCTGGCCTGTTTGATTGAGTGGTTGTCTAACTGGTGGATTGTGTGGTTGTTTGACTGGTGGATTGGGTGGTTGTTTGATTAGTGGATTAAATGGTTGGTTGATTAGTGGATTGGGTGGTTGTTTGATTAGTGGATTGGGTGGTTGTTTGATTGGTGGATTGGGCGGTTGTTGGATTGGTTGATTGAGTGGTTGTTTGAATGGTGGAATAATTGGTTGTTTCATTGGTGGATTTGGTGGTTGATTGATTGGTGGATTGCGTGGTTGTCTGATTGGTGGATTGGATGGTTGCTTATTGCTGGACTGAATAGTTGATTGATTGGTGGATTGGATATGTGCTTAATTGTTGGATTGGATGGTTGCTTGATTGGTGGATTGGGTGGTTGCTTGATTGGTGGATTAGGTGGTTGCTTGATTGGTGGATTGGGTGGTTGCTTGATTGGTGGATTGGGTGGTTGCTGCTGGTGAGATTGGTGGTTACTTGATTTGTCGGATGGTGCTTGATTGGATGGGATTTGCTTAGTGGATCGGGGTGATTGCTTAATTGTGGAATTGTTTTTGTATTTTTTTCTTTTTTGGATCCCTTTTTTTTAGTTGACCATTTTGTTTTTTTTTTTTTTTTGATTGGTGATTATTGGTTTTTTTCTTTTTTTTTTTTTTTTTGTTTTTTGGTTGCTTTATTTTATTTTTTTTTGTATGAATTTGGTGTTATTTTTTTTTTTTTCTTTTTCGCTTTTGTTTTTTTTTTTTTTTTTTTTTTTTTTTTGTTTTTTTTTTTTTTTTTTATTGTTTGCTTTTGATTTTTGTTTTTTTCGTTTTTTTCTTGCTTTTTTTGTTTTTGTTTTTGCTTTTTTTTTTTATTTTTTTGTTTATTTTTTTTTTTTTTTTTTGGATTCTTTTTTTTTTTTTTTGTCTTGGATTCCTGTTAGTCTTTTTTTTTGCTTTTTTTTTTTTTTTTTTTTTTTGGTTTTGGTTCTTTTTTTATTACTCCCCCCTCCTTTCGTTTTTTTGTTGGAATGGGCGGTTGCTTGATTGGATCAGTGGATCGGCTGCTAGTTGATCGATGACCTAGTGTTTTATTGGTGTATTAATTACAATTACGAGAGGCGTTTAGAAAGTAGTCCACGCATCACGTTTTTTTCAGGAGCTGTTTATTGAAAAAGCATGAAATGTATGTACACAAAATGTACATGAATATATCAAGTAAACATCGGTATTATTCAACACAATCCTTATCGACCTTTACGCCTCTATGCCAGCGCCAAATAAGTGCACGTATTCCTAGCATGTACCAGACTTTGTTTCGATCATGTAGACATTTTTCGTTCTACGGAGTGCATCTTTAAGTGGACCAAACCGATGACAATCAGAGGGTGCGTAGTCGGGACAGCATGGTGGGTGCGAAAGTACTGCCCAACAAAATGTGATTGCTTCCAGTGTGGCTAGACTTGTGCGAGAGTGCCTAGTCAAGACAACATGGTGGGTGCGAAAGTACTGCCCAACAAAATGTGATTGCTTCCAGTGTGGCTAGACTTGTGCGAGAGTGCCTAGTCAAGACAACATGGTGGGTGCGAAAGTACTGCCCAACAAAATGTGATTGCTTCCAGTGGGGCTAGACTTGTGCGAGGGTGCATTGTCGTGACAACATGGTGGGTGCGAAAGTCCTGTCTAACAAAATTGGATTGCTTCCAGTGTGGCTAGACTTGTGTCAGGGTGCCTAGTCGTGACAACATGGTGGGTGCGAAAGTCCAACAAAATGTGATTGCTTCCAGTGTGGTAGACTTGTGTGCATTGTCGTGAAGGAGAACCAGGTTTGCTGGATACTTGTGTGGCCCAATTCAGCGAAAACGTGGACTGTTTTTTTTTTTTTTTTCAAATGCATGAACTCTTTGAGTCCCATGCGGTTTAACATCATAGGCCCAAGGAGTAGTCAAGAGAAAAAAACGTACAACCGGCGCGTCTTGCGTTCACTGGGCTTCTAAGAAGGAACCTTTGAATGTATTAGCCCGGCTCTCTATCGTAGTTGGCTAAACCGGATTGCGCGGAGACCGGGTGACGAGCTCCTTGTAGTCCGGGTTCAATCCCGAGGGTAGGCAGGAAAGCCACATTTCTCCCAGATTTACGGTATTTACAATGGAATCAAGGCCGAAGGGTTGCGATATCCATAATACCGAGCCTAAGGGTTAACAACTCATGGCTTCTGGATACTAAAACAAACAAACATGAATGTATTATGCGTACCTTAGGACTGAAAGAGTTAATGTAAGCTTACGAACCGATTTTCTCTCCTCTTGGCGTACAATTAACTAGAATCACACCTTCCACGTCACAAAAGACAGTTATCGTAACTTTTCCAACTGAAGAAGTTGTCTTGAATTTCTTCTTTCGTGGTGATCGCCGATGATGCCACTCCAATGACTGTCTCAGGTTTAAAATCACGTGCCCAGCTTTCGTCATCAGAAAGTTTCTTAACCAACCAGTTCTCCCGTCAGCGCTGAAACGCTCCAACAATTCAGAAAAAACTGCTTTTTTTGCAATCGATGGTGATTTGTGAGTATTCATAGAACCCATGTTGCGCAGACCTTAGAAATCATATAACTGCATTTACACCACCACCGCCGACTGCCATTTGTAGGGCCAACTGTGGCCGATGACGCAGCTCGGGGTCTCCAGTTCCTGATTCTTTAATTCTCTGAAGCCAGCTCGGTACTTAATTTATAACTTACCTCTGACGTCACGACAACGTCACGGTAGACATTCCCAATAAATTATAGGGTGTTCAGGTTGTAGTTTGTCGCGATTTATCTACAGCCAAGTTTAGGGTTAGGGTTAGGGTTAGGGTTAGGATTAGAAGACACTAGATGAACACTAAAAAAAAAAAAAAAAAATACACACACAACAGCACACTTTCACCCCTTTAAATAATGGACTGTCAGGTCAGCTGTGGATTTCCCACGGGGATTTCGTGTTTGGGGTACGTTATAAATTAAGAACCGCCAGCGACTAACTATTCCACTATCGACTGCAAACCTTCCATGTGCATCTCATAGACGCTTGTAAATGTTCACAACGACTTCCCCAACAAGAAATGATATCACATTTCGCTGTGTATAACGCAAGCTATTAACACTCTCAATGACAACGCTTTAGGGCGGTGGTATCATACAGCCAGTTGCGGTGCAATTTAGTACACGCAAACGGCACATGCCATATTTGAAGTGTGCGAAATGTTACGCTTGATTAGATGGAGGGAGAAAAAACCACCACGTAGTGCATTGCTACAACCCGGTATCAGTGAGATGACAAAACCACGACACTGGGCTACAACCCGGTATCAGTGAGATGACAAAAACCACTGGGACACTGGGCTACACCACCCGGTATCAGTATCAATGAGATGACAAAACCACGACACTGGGCTGACAAAAACACGACAACCTGGTATCAGTGAGATGACAAAACCACGACACTGGGCTACAACCTGGTATCAGTGAGATGACAAAACCACGACACTGGGCTACAACCTGGTATCAGTGAGATGACAAAACCACGACACTGGGCTACAACCCGGTATCAGTGAGATGACAAAACCACAACACTGGGCTACAACCTGGTATCAGTGAGATGACAAAACCACGACACTGGACTACAACCTGGTCTCAGAGAGACGACAAAATCACGACACTGGGCTACAATCTGGTATCATTGAGATGACAAAACCACGACACTGGACTACATATAATCTGGTATCACTGAGACGACAAAAGAAAAAGGGAAAAAAAGAAGTGTAAGGATTACTCAGAGATATTTATCCCGTGTGGATTCCAGAGCCCCATTCTGAGAGGAAAATAACTCACGCTCACACCTCCAAACAACAACGAAACAAGAGTAATTAGGCGTTTGATATAATGATATAATCGAATGTCTTGGGTCGAAAGACGCATATACTGAAGCCCAGCTGTAAACTACAACGCAACATACCAAACACCCTTCTTAGAACTCACTGACATTTTAAAGAGACAACTCTCACTAACAGACTGCTCCCCCAACTTGCCAGATTGCCTGTATCACGCCATCGGCTGCCAATGTGACTGAAACAGTCAATACACTGAGATATGCCAGTCGGGCCAAGAGAATCAAGACCAAACCAACGGTGAAAATGGTAAGTTATGTTTGATCTGTCTTTCCACCGGTCTACTTGCCTACCTTATTACTATAGTTGCCACTTTTCTCTGAATGAAAACATCTAGAAATGAAACAAACAATATCTAGTAAAAAGGTAAAAAAAAAAAATGGTAAAGATCCCTTTTCCACGCCTTTAGGTGTATAGGGTATATAGGGATAGACCTATATTTTTTATAGACCACTTGGCACAAGATGTGTGAAGTGGTCAGTATCACTCCGGCCGCCTTTACTTCCCGAGACTGCATCCAGTACCCACTCGAAGCAGAGTTAACCTGGAAGTCAAGGTCATACCCCCCGGCTCCGCCAGGGAGGGAACCCACGGAAACAATATCTGGAAATATCTAGAATGTACAGTTGAAATTCACACACAAACACACACGCGCGCACGCACGCACACACATACACAGATGCAAATGAAAAAAGTAATAAATCGCAGAGAATGAATGAATAAAGTAATCAAGAAATAACATCTTTGCACTCGGGACATTAACACACGTGCTCTGTCTCCCTCTTCAGAGCCCAAGAGGAGTCGACATGTTAACCGCACGAGCTGCAACCTTATTAAATGTCACATTTAAATTCGTTCACTGATACTCTGCTTCGACCACACAATTACCATTAGCCTCTAACATTTTTATAATTCTGTAATATTTATGTACGTCCTGTAAATTCAAAAGTATGTTTACAGAAAAGCGTGAAATATTTGTCAATGCATGCAAATATTCAGGAAGTTTCTGCTTCAGTTGCTTGAATAATGGGACAAGAAAATCATGACAGCGTTTTCTCAAATAGTTTTCTTTATTTTTCTCCTAACAGTCGTTGTTTTTTTTTAGTTATCATCAATTTAAAACAAAAAGATCTGATTTCCACAACATGGCTTCGAATCTAAGTCATCTCCCCCCCCCCTCCCCGTGGTGATTCAATAATCTTTGTAGTTCAAAAAACAGATGGCAGGGGAGTAACATCCCTAAATGACACTGAAGTTGTATGTTCTTTAGTCTTTGAATGACTTAGTTCTTGCACTTTCAGTTCGCCCTTGCTGCACTTACAACGAGCATTGGTCGCATATCCTGGAAATGCCATCATCATCATCATCATCAGTTCTCGTTATGCCTAGTGGCACATGAGGCTTCAGAGAGGACTTTTCTGGCTTTCCTGTCCTGTGCAATCTTCAGTGCAGTTTTCCATGTCAGAGATGCCGCACTCAGGTCACTCTCCATCGTTCGTCTCCATGATGTTTTTGGGAGTCCCTTTTTTCTCTTTTCCTCAGGTAATGCTGCTTTGGCAGGTATATCAGGATTTATTCTCATAATGTGGCCAAGCTATGTCTATCTTCTCTTGTTTATCATACTGTCTAGAGTTTCTTGGTTTGTGACTTGAAGTAGTTTAGTGTTTGAGACTGTATCTGGCAGAAAGTTCCATCACCCAGTCATTAAGTATGTCATCATGCAGCCTCTCCTTCTGAGATTTGTATTCATTTTGCTTTACCTTTGGCATGTTCGACATGCCCCCACCCCTTTTTCCGCAGCAAAAATGTGAAAGACATACGAAGAGACCTATCTTTTATTGCAGGACCCCAGGGAGACACTAATCGTCACATTAAAGCGGGAAATCAGAATTCTGAGACAAGAAAATCACTATTTACGGCAACAGGTAGGCTGGTTATAAATATTTCATTACTGTAGTTGTTTGCAACAGCCGTCATTGTGGCTTGGAAAAGATGGTGATGGAAGGTGCAGTTTGTGAAAGGCGAGGCAGGGGTCGACCACCGCGAAGATGGATAATGACATTAAAGATGCATTGGCATTGAAAGCACATGAGGCCGGAGAGCTGGCTAGGGAAAGGGATACTTTCAGGCGTGCCGTGAAGAGAGCGACGTTCTGTAAAGGACTTGCTGACTGATGATGATGAGTCGTTTGCAATGTATATGGCATGCGTGTTTCTGTATGACCGATTACTTACTGTGTAAAAAACTAATGGCAACACACTATGTCTAGTTACGAGACTCGTGTAAAATTAGTAACCGTCAACTGACAGACTTAATTCCAAGGTAGAGCGACCAACTGACAGGCTAATGAAAATATGTAGTGATGTACTGACATTCATTCATTCATAAATGAAAGTCAACAAACTAATGTAAAATATAATAACCAGCTGACAAACTTACAGTATAACATACTGATCAACTGACAGACTGATGGAAAGACCAGTGGAATAATATTACAAAATACAGGGAAATTTGGAAGAAAAGAATAAAGACATAGACACACAAGAAAACATGGAAAAGAGGCCAAAGTCAGGGAGGAAAGCTCAGACATTTTGAGCCTCAGCCCCTCCTCCCTCCCTCACGCCTTTTTACACGTTTCATGGGGCAAATAATTTGTAGGATAAGAGACGGGGCGGCGATCCCGAACCATAACTTGTAACAGCGGGCTTAAATATGCTTTTTAAGCATGTATATACATTATCTTTTAAAGTATCTGTTCATATGTTTCATATTAGTTCAAATATGTCATCATACTTATTTACCATTCAGTACATTATTATTAGTATTATTATTGTGGTTGTTTATACGATGGTCACCCCCTTAACACACCACCGGTTGTAGGTCAACTCCATTGATAAGTTGGTTGGACTAGTCTACCGTGGTCGAGGTTATGGGTGTCGCAGTCTGTTGTTGTCTGGCTTTACTTTTTTATTTCCGAGAAAGAGACGGCCTGCGACATAGGTTTTGTCACTCTCTAGGGGGTTGTATGTTAGACCCAGTATTTAAATGTTTTAGAAGTGTTAAAAGCTCGAGGGCGGAATATCCCCGTGACCTTGTGTGAAAGTCGAATCGCTCGAGACCGACCTATCAGAAGTGAGCTGGTCAGTAGCTCGTGCAATCAGAAGCGAGCTAGTGTGTAGCGGTGTGTAAATAGGGTGACCAGCGTCTAATTTACCATCTCGCAACACTCACCTAGCAATAGGTATTTCGTCCTTTTTAGGACGAAATTTATTATTATTTGAAGCCCTACCCTGGCTTTTGCCAGGGGCCGCAATATAGGCAGACCATAAATATGGCCAATTGTCTGAACGCGGTTTCTGGGACTTCTCCACGGTGATCCTCATCCGCATGATGGCACTTTGTGTCATCGGGTGTTTATCGCTTGTGTGATGTCCTGCTGGGGTAGAAATTCAGTTAGTCAGTCAGTCAGTCTAATTTACCGTTATTATTGTTGGTGTTGTAATTATGATTATCAGTATTACTATTATTATTGCAGTTCTTAGTCTTATTATTATATTATTGTTGTAGTTAATATTATTATTAATTTTGTTTTTATTATGATTGTTAAGATGATTATTATTTTTAGTAATGTGTTAAATGGCACCAAACATATACTTGATAAATATGAAATGTAATAAATTCAGACTTTCAAAGAATATTTCTGTACGTGGTTAAAAGGGTCTTTTATTACACCTACAGAATTATTGGGGGAGGGGAAATAAAATATGTTAAGGACATCAAGAGTGTTAAGTACGTGATATCACGTTGACGTCATATTGACAATATAATGATGGCCTTCCAAATGTTGACAAGAAGAGCACTGTTCTGTTATCGGTTTTTTTTTTTTTTTTTTTAGTTTTAAGGTTTTCATTATTTGAAGTCAACATGTTAAAATGAAACAGAAAAAGACAAATACCAGATTTATTTGATTGTGTGTGTTTAAGCTCGACTTTCCGGCGAAACCCAAAGGACAGCTGCAGAAAGAAAACGACGAACAGTTCATGAAGTTCATGAAACAACAACAGCAAAAGGAGACGGGACTCTACGAGATGCTACAGGAGTACATGGTCGAGAATGAATCGCTGAGGTAAGAATTGAAAAGAGTATACCAATTTGTGCTAGTGTTTGTTTGCTTTGGCTTTAAGATGACCGATTTTCTGGCATGGCAGAAACCGGTAAATGATTTCATAGAACACCAAAGAATCAAATGGTGTTGTCATCTGGTCAGATTGGCATACGAAACAGTCTACAACTAGAGTGTGCTACATGAGAAGAGGAGGCTACACGGCAAGAAGCCGACCAAGAAAGACATGGACGGAGGGAGTAAAAGAGACGCTACAGACACACATTGTGACATTCAGACAAGCTACACGACTAGCGAAATACAAGAAGAAACATCTAGCTCATCTCTGTGACTATTTAAGGCATGTAACACACACCAAGAGAAAGAAGAGACGTTCTAAGAAACGTTAAATGTTTCAACTATGTTTAAGAGTAGCTTGACTGTTTTTCAGAAATGACCTTGGCTCCCAGATCAACCCAGCTGTGTGTGTAGGTGCAGTCCTGGGAAGTGAAGGCGGCCGCACGATGCTGACCCCATCACCCACCAAGTGCCGATTGATCTATAAAATAAACATCTAGCTCTATACGCCACTAGGAAACTTGAAGGCGTAGAAAATGGAATTTGTTCTTCTTCTTCTTTGCGTTCACCAGCTGTACACTCTGGTGTAAAGTTCTGGTTGTTCGTCCACTTCTGGACTGCAGTCCTGCTCCAGAACCTGAGTGTTGCGTGTGCATCAGTTTTACAGATCTGATTCAATTGAATGCAGACTGCTGGTTCCTTGCCTCTCAGGCAGATGCACTCCGACTTCAAAGGAAGCTCCCCAGTTAGTCGACTCTTACGACATGCTTTTGGGGAGGCAGTGGGTCTATTCTTGTTTTTCCCACAATAGGGCCCCGGAACCCACACGGGGGTTTGTTGACTGATAATTTAAAGAACATGTTACAAATAATCAACTGAGGAATGCCAGAACCATCTTAAACCTAGCTCCGGCGACGATCCCGAGTCAAAACTGCATTCGTAAACCTCACAACGCGGCCGTGAAATAAACCCATGACTTTAAAACGTGATGCGGAGGATGTGACCACTTCTCCGTAGAGATCGCCTTGGCAACCTAAGGATCACGTGGTAGCTCTCACTTTAGTGGCCTCGACCGGGGCCATTCGATCGATTTTTCTCTGTATGATAAACGTTTTCGAAACACCATCCCCTTAAATGTTCAAAGTGTATTTTGATTTCGCTGCTTATGCCGCCTCCTTCCGGTGCCGCCTGATGCGGTCTAAACTCTGTACTTCTTAAATATTTCCTGGTGGGCATTTAGTCTTTGACGTCCTGGGAGCCTAAATAATATTTAATGTCTTCTTAGGGATCTGAATGTTTAGACACATGGCAAATATGTTAGCTGTCCCCTGTGGGTTTCACGGCTCCTATTTTGGGGAAAATAAGAATAGACCTATTGCCTCCCTAAGCATGTCGTAAAAGGCGACTAACCAGGGTTGTTTTATTCAGAGACGGAGGCCAACCGTACACATACAAAACAAAGCCAGATTTGTAACACGGATGTGCATGCAAAATTCAAGTTCTGGAACAAGGGACCTCAAAAGTGGAAGAATAATCACAATTTCTGCAGGAGTGTATAGCTGGTGAACGCGAAGAATAATAAACATGCTAACTGTTCTCTGAGGGTCCACAGACATTTTTAAAAACTATATTGTTGTATTTAAATGAACGATATTGTTGTATGTAAGTGACTTGTGGGAAGACATTGTTGCATGTAAGTGACTCATGGAATGATATTGTTGTATGAAACTGACTTAGGTAACGATATCCCCAGGTCTGAGAACTCGCAGCTGCACACGGTCAAGGACAGCATGCGGAGAGAGCAGCAGACTCTACACGATGAGAATGAGATGCTTGCCCAGAGGGTGGAGCAGTTAGAGAGGTATGTCTGGAGGTATGTCTGGGGTGTGTCTGGAGGTATGTCTGGGGGTATGTCTGTAGGTATGGTCTGGGGGTGTGCCTGCAGATATATCTAGGGGTATATCTGTAGGTATGTCTGGGGTGTGTGTCTGGAGGTATGTCTGCAGGTATGTCTGGGGTGTGTCTGAAGGTATGCGAGGTAGAATAAATGATGAGTGGAATGAAGCTGAGTGAAGCAGTTAGAGAGGTATGTCTGCAGGTATATCTGGAGGTATGTCTGGAGGAATGTCTGAAGGTATGTCTGGAGGTATGTTTGGAGGTCTGTCTGGAAGTATGTCTGCAGGTATGTATGGAAGTATGTCTGGGGGTATGTCTGCAGGTATGTCTGGAAGTATGTCTGCAGGTGTGTCTGGAAGTATGTCTGAAATATGTCTGAAGGTATGTCGGGAGGTATGTCTTCAGGAATGTCTGCAGGTGTGTCTGGAAGTATGTCTGGAGGCATGTCTGCAGGTATGTCGGGAGGTAGGTCTTCAGGTATGTCTGCAGGTATGTCGGGAGGTATGTCTGCTGGTATGTCTGCAGGTATGTCTAAAGGTATGTTAGAAGGTATATATGCGGGTATGTCTGCAGTTCTGTCAGCAGGTGTGTCTGTAGGTGTGTCTGAAGGTGTGTCTGGGGGTACGCGAGGCAGAATCACTGTTGAATGGAGCAGTTAAAGAAGTATGGCCGGGGGTACGCGAGGCAGAATCATTGTTGAATGGCGTGTAGCTGCTGGATGTATGACTCGTGTATTAGAGCACAATCAATGGGGAGTGGAATAGAGGGGAGCTGCTAGAGAAGTATGACTCGTGTATTAGAGCACAATCAATGGGGAGTGGAATAGAGGGGAGCTGCTAGAGAGGTATTATTTAAAAAAATGTGAAGGGCACAATCACTACTGATTGGAGTGGAGAAGCTCGAAGGCAATGTCTCGTGTTGGCGAGCACCGTAAAGGGTGAGGTGAGAGGAATGTCTCGTGTTGGCGAGCACCGTAAAAGGTGAGGTGAGGGCAATGTCTCGTGTTGGCGAGCACCGCAAAGGGTGAGTTGAGGGCAATGTCTCGTGTTGGCGAGCACTGTAAAGGGTGAGGTGAGGGCAATGTCTCGTGTTGGCGAGCACCGTAAAGGGTGGGGTGAGGGCAATGTCTCGTGTTGGCGAGCACCGTAAAGGGTGGGGTGAGGGCAATGTCTCGTGTTGGCGAGCACCGTAAGGGTGAGGTGAGGGCAAATGTCTCGTGTTGGCGAGCACCGTAAAGGGTGAGGTGAGGGCAATGTCTAGTGTTGGCGAGCACCGTAAAGGGTGAGGTGAGGGCAATGTCTCGTGTTGGCGAGCACCGTGAAGGGTGGGGTGAGGGCAATGTCTCGTGTTAGCGAGCACCGTCAAGGGTGGGGTGAGGGGAATGTCTCGTGTTGGCGAGCACCGTAAAGGGTGAGGTGAGGGCAATGTCTCGTGTTCGCGAGCACCGTAAAGGGTGGGGTGAGGGGAATGTCTCGTGTTGGCGAGCACCGTAAAGGGTGAGGTGAGGGCAATGTCTCGTGTTCGCGAGCACCGTAAAGGGTGGGGTGATGGCAATGTCTCGTGTTGGCGAGCACCGTAAAGGGTGGGGTGAGGGGAATGTCTCGTGTTCGCGAGCACCGTAAAGGGTGGGGTGAGGGGAATGTCTCGTGTTCGCGAGCACCGTAAAGGGTGGGGTGAGGGGAATGTCTCGTGTTGGCGAGCACCGTAAATGGTGGGGTGAGGGCAATGTCTCGTGTTGGCGAGCACCGTAAAGGGTGAGGTGAGGGCATTGTCTCGTGTTGGCGAGCACCGTAAAGGGTGGGGTGAGGGGAATGTCTCGTGTTCGCGAGCACCGTAAAGGGTGAGGTGAGGGCAATGACTCGTGTTGGCGAGCACCGTAAAGGGTGAGGCGAGGGCAATGTCTCGTGTTGGCGAGCACCGTAAAGGGTGGGGTGAGGGGAATGTCTCGTGTTCGCGAGCACCGTAAAGGGTGAGGTGAGGGCAATGTCTCGTGTTGGCGAGCACCGTAAAGGGTGAGGTGAGGGCAATGTCTCGTGTTGGCGAGCACCGTAAAGGGTGAGGTGAGGGCAATGTCTCGTGTTGGCGAGCACCGTAAAGGGTAAGGTGAGGGCAATGTCTCGTGTTCGCGAGCACCGTAAAGGGTGAGGTGAGGGCATTGTCTCGTGTTCGCGAGCACCGTAAAGGGTGAGGTGAGGGCAATGTCTCGTGTTGGCGAGCACCGTAAAGGGTGAGGTGAGGGCAATGTCTCGTGTTCGCGAGCACCGTCAAGGGTGGGGTGAGGGGAATGTCTCGTGTTGGCGAGCACCGTCAAGGGTGAGGTGAGGGCAATGTCTCGTGTTCGCGAGCACCGTAAAGGGTGGGGTGAGGGGAATGTCTCGTGTTGGCGAGCACCGTAAAGGGTGAGGTGAGGGGAATGTCTCGTGTTCGCGAGCACCGTAAAGGGTGAGGTGAGAGGAATAGTCGACAAACATGAAATGTTTACGAATCAAGCTAGATGTAAAGAGACCAGATCGACTCAGGAACGATGAATTCAGGAGCAGAGACAGCACAAAACTAATACTGGAACTTCATCGGTAGACAATAAATCAAATGGTTTGGCCATCTAACTAGACTGTCATCAGACAAGGCACCACAGAAATCAATGTTATACATATACAGCGGTAACAGATCCAGAATTCGACTTCACAGAAAATGGACCGTGAAAATACTGAAGACTTTATACAAAGCAGCAAATGAAAGTATATCTCTATATACAACAATAAGAAAGAGACAAACATTGTTCTGTGGCCACACAATGAGGAGAGAGACATTGGAGAACATTGTGACAACTGGAAAGATCAGTGGGAAAAGGGGTAGAGGCAGACCAAGAGAGATGATGCTGGATGGGCTAAAACGATGGCATGTAGGGATATCATCCAGAGAGCTGTTCCAGGCAACCAGGGATCGTGATCCGTGGAGAGGCATGAGCGCCTACGCCAGTTAGCAGGGCACATGGTGATGATGATTTGCAAAGCGACCATAAAGACCCGTTCTAGAAATCCCTTCCTGCTCTGACGCCGCGAGGCTGTCGATGAGTAGAGAACAGTCAGAATAAGGAGAGGCGCAGGTACAGATGTATGTCGTGATATGAGTAGCACAGTCCACGGCTAGCTCCAGATATAAGGCTGAGCAGCTCAAACAGGAAATCCCGTTTTCGTGAGGCTGGCGTGGCCGGATGGTGGTAACAAATATTATCGAGTAGATTTATACCCAAATTGAACCACAGGGTAAAATAATCTGAAACATGTGTTATTGAATGAATTATTATTTTGAAGATAAAAAAATGGGCTTTTAGAAAATATTTATCTTTAAAATGATAATTCGTTCAATAACACATGTTGCAAATTAATTAAACTGTAGTTCAATGTGTGTATAAATCTATTTGGTTACCAACGACCGGCCACGTCAGCCTCACAAAAACGGGAATTCCCGTTTGAGCTGTCCGACCTTATATCTACAGCTGGCTGTGCCCAGTCATTACCAAGTAGTGGGCTACAAGATTGCTGTAGCTTTATTTGTATCGCGAAATCCATTCATAATCCATATGTTCAAGCCTGCCATCTTACCTCCCCAGATTAATGTCGCAACAACTGCCAGGCATCTGGCCCTCAGAAACTCACCCCCAAATAAATGGGCACAGCCAGTGGGGTCAACCACTCAAAGGGTCACTACCGAATATCAGCCACACAAGTCCGCCTCAGAGACCACAAATCCGATCGGTCGGTACATGTGCTGCTGTCTGTTTTTCTCTTGTGTTTTTTCATTTACGGGTGTCCTGTGCGCAGAGTGACTTGCATCACTTGAGGTTTGATCAACGGTAGTAACCTAAAAGTGCTCCGTTCCTTCTTCTAACCCAAGTCTGAGTCCGAGAAGCTCAGCACAAGGCACAGGCTCTGTAGCACAGGCGAGGATCCTGAAATACTTTAGGTAGTTTTTTAACTCAAAATTTTAGCCCGGACATCATTGTTAGGCTACTCTTTTTGATATCCAACTGTCAAAGTATTTTTAACGAGCGAAACAATGCAC